ACCGTATTAAATTTGTATTAGAATAAGTAAAAAAATATTAGCGAAACCATTGGTCAAAGATCTTAAAGATTGAATCCTGATGTGGGCTGTGTCGTCTTCTAAAAGAGTCTCTAGGAGCCTTCATCTCGAGGTCTCTCGGGACATTTGATCAAGACGATAACTCTTTTATGAGATATTTATGCTTGATGTTTGAAACAAGCGCTACTATGTAAAATATTTATAGAGCCGGCTGACTCAGCTACCCTACAAATCAATTTGCAGATGACTGTCGTCTCTAGAAATTCTTTTTTAGTCACAAGCTAGGTCTATAGAGGTGGCTGAACTACCAACTCTTACAAATCGATTTGTAGAGGCGACCACCATCTGTATAAATCATTTTCCAAAAATCACAAGCCGGGTCTAAAAATAATATTTTTTTTTAATTTGGAAAAGCCTCCACCGGACAGTCTCACGATCGCGTTACTAGTCACAAAAGTTTCGCAGTTCTCATGCGAAATACTCACGTGCAGTTGCCAACCTCAAGCATCTCGCCTTACTCCTCTTCCCATTGTGTCTCAGAGTCACTTGTAACTAAGTAGCAAATACATTTCTTTTGCATATTTGAGACCCTAAACGAATTTAAATGAAAAAGCTTTAAACTACAAAGTTTTAGATCTCTTTGATTACTATAATTTTGGTTTAGAGGTCATTTTGAAAAAAAAATCAAATTTCAAATTCATTAATCTTAAAGATAGAATTTCTATGGCCACGATCTTAAATGAAAATGTCATCGACTATAAAGTTTCATATCTCTTCGAGTTCTACTACAATTTCGGTTTAGGTCATTTCTCCTTTTGACGTACTTTCAAAATTTAAAACAATAAATTTAAAAAATTCTGAAAGTTTAAACTGAATTCCGGGCACTAAATGTTTCCAAATGACAAAATAGCCGACTATAAAGTTGCATACCCATTCTAGGACTACAAAGTGGCGGGCCGATTGTTAGAACCGAGAAGACCGATTAGAAATAAGTTGAATAGTCATTTCTAAAACTAAAAGCGAATCCTAGCCAAAATAAAAGCAAAAATAAACTAACAGCTGGAAATAAACACAAAATCAACGCTCATCCGGGCTCCCGGCAGATCTACCCCCCAAGTTAAAGAATGAAGCGACATCCATCCCCCACACAGGATCTGGAATCTAGCATGCAAAATACTTTGCCGCCTTTTGGACATATGGGTCTCCCCTTAAAGCGCTTAGCTAGGATCGATGAGGGATGAAGACGAAGGACACATCAGCTGAGGCCGCGTTTAGTTGGCCACCGAATCGGCGCCGCCGGATTTCCTGGGGCTACTGTAGCTACTGTAGCGTTTGTTTTTATTTGGTAATAATTATCCGATCGTTGACTAATTAAGCTTAAAACATTCGTCTCGCAAAGTACAACCAAACTGTGCAATTAGTTTTTGATTTCGTCAACATTTAGTACTCCATACATGTACCGCAAGTTTGACGTGACAGGGAATCTTCTTTTTGCATAGTACCAAATTCAGGAATTGGAGGGAACTAAACAAGGCCTGAATCGATCAGGATTCCATGTCGCCCCCCTTGGGCATGTTACACGTATATATGTGTATGTGAAAGTGAAACGATTACGCTAAGGCTCTACGTATAGTAGAACACATCACTGAGATAGATTAGAAATGGCAGAAAGCGCCGTGTGATCAGTCACAAAAGCGAGAAAAGGGCCGCAAAAGTTGGAGCACATCCCGCCGACCATCTCCTTTCCTTGTCCCCATCCGGCCGTCCGATCCATGGAGATGCATGGACATGTACCTGCCCTCGATGTCGATCCAATCCTCACATGACCAGCGACCGATTCAATTATTCAGCGTTTTCAGCATTTCACTACTATCTCATACTCATACTTGAAATAAGCTAGGGGAATGTTGGACTCGTCACTTTATTTGGGGGGGGGGGATGTTGGAATTGTCACTTTATGGTTGATCGATTCGATTGGTAAGTTTAAAATTCTTGTACAGGTCGACATATATATTCCCTCTTATTTTTAACAATCGATGTTGATATGTTTAAAAATATAAATTAACCATAACCAACGTCAATTACTGAAAATCAGAGACGTAGCAATTTTATTTTCTCTACGGTTTCTATCCAAACTCTATCACTTCATTGTCATGTCTCGGCGGCGTACGTGGATATTCGCACACGTGTGGCCTTGGATATAAGGAAATTTAATCTATATATATCAATAATACTTGTGCATGTATAAGCTTAGACACCATAGATTTATTTCAAGTATGAGATGCAAAAGTTCTAATAGAATATTCAACATGCATAGAGCCATCGGCTAATAGCATGGCTAATAATGCAGCTAGCTCTTGGTTGTATGCTATTTCCATATCATCTGCAACCTTCAAATAAATAGCCCTTTTATATAATAGTTGGCTATTTATACATATTATACCATTAATATCTAGCACACCTTATTATCTCACGGAGTTTCTTGAAGCTCGTGTATAAATTGGATGCAAGTTTAGAGCAAGTACAACGATTATCTTATAGCCAAGCTAGTCAGCATTTTTGCTGATGTGGATGAGAGAATGGAGGAGAGATAAGAGATCTTGGCTCTCAGGCCTTCCCTAACGCCATGCTTTTCCATATAGCCCCAAGTGCCATGTAAGATCTGATAAAAAAATAGGTGCTCTACACTTGTCATAGTGGCTTGCAGAAGTTACATATGCTTGGGAGAGAGAGAAGGTGGTCCATGCTAAAAAAGAAGAGAGAGAGAAAATAAAGGTGATGCATGATGAAAGAAAAAAGTTTCTTTGCAAACCACAAATAGTGATAGTTTACATTGTGTGAATAGTAGTCTCAATATTTCCTAGTCTATGTGGATCACTTTATTTGTACTAGAACCACTAAGAGTGTTAGCCCTCCATTGGTGGTGCCTTCATGCAAGCAACAAACTGAGCACGGAAGCATAGGCAGCAGTGGGTTCCAATAAAGATGTATGTGAGGAGTAATAGGAAAGAGAATGAAAACATTTAATAATAAAAGAAGTGTGAATATAAATAGAAGACTAACTATTGTATAGCTTAGCTCTTATAACTTGACTTATAGCCAAACACTTGGCTTTATTATTAACCTTGCTCTTACAAATCATTTCTCTTCTCTCTATTTTCCTCTTTCCTCCCCCTCAACACCTAAATCTGATGTGGCACTCTCTACAGCCTATTTACATCAGCTTATCAATTACACCTTGCTCTAAGAGAGAATAGTTTAGCAAGAGTATAAATAAATATAATAAATTGTAACCCATAGATATCATCAGTATGCATGCAAAAGGTTTTGGGATCACATGATGACATGATCCCACGTATCTTCAGACTTGAAGTACTCCGTATGTGTACACATGCACCTGGGGACCCTCAATATGACGAAGGTGGACACTGACGTGGAATCCGCGTCCTCCTTTGCGTGCGAAACGAGCTGGCACTACGTAGGACGCCTCTGTTTCAGGCTATCCTCTTCTCCATGGGGCCCATCAGGATTCGGTTCAGAAAGCAGAGAAGAGCTGATGAGCTGAGTCACAAAAGGGAAGGGCGGGTGGGGGGTGATTGCATTGCAGTTGCAGCCATGGGACACATCACGATTCGGTTCAGGAAGTAGAGAGCAGCTGATGAGCTGACAGCTGAGTCACAGTAGGGGGGAAAATTGGGTGAAAACGGTCAAACTATAAGCACCCACCGTGGATTTGCATGTCTATAGTTCTATACGCATGCTTTCAACGAATGAATCTGTTGCTTAAATTAAGAGGAATAATTAGAAAGAAAAACTACGTCTCTCTCATACGTTGGACACATGAGCATTGGATGCGTCTCACAAATGCACGATGGGTGACCATAGTTACTCCATGGCATGGATCGTCCCCACCAATTTTTTTCCCCACAAAAGTATATAACTCCAAAACTGCACCAGGATTCAGCATGGGAAGAGGAAAAGAAGGTTATATATATATATATATATATATATATATATATATATATATATATATATATATATATATATATATATATATATATATATATATATATATATATATATATATATATATATATATATATATATATATATATATAAAGGCGAAGATAAGTTATGCCCCATGGATAGATGTCATCAGGAGAGCACATGACATTTGATCCTCATTGCTAGTGCTCACTTTTAGGGCAATCAAACAAAAATACCCAATAGCCATAGGTGGCAGGCTGATGAACAAAGCTGTACTTGCTACCATCTATACAAGAAAGTAAATTCAATTCATGGCATGGCCAGTGACCATAGTATTTACCAAGTCCTAACCTGAGGCTCCAAAGAATTAGAGAGAAGAACGTTGCACAAAATTAGTTACAAGTTACAAGTAGATAAACAATTTCAAACCTATAAGATATGTTTTGAGACGGGCACAAAGAACTTGCACACGCATTGCACTGTGCAAATATTTCAGATCCTGAACCAATTGGTGACGTAGATGACCATTGTGCAACTATGGCACAAGTATTGTGGGAGTGGATCAACTTTTTTCTCAAAAAAAGAAAGTAGAACTCGCACAAGTATGCCGCTATCTACCAAATTCTCACACTAACCAGTCAAACAGATTGAGAACAGAGAAGCATTAGGCTAGCCCCAAAGTGGGATTCCGAAATTAAAATATTCGGTGCCTGGGTGCAGACGCACCACAGTTTATGACCTCTGCTTGCAACAACCAAAGAGATTTGGTGGGAAAAAAACATTGGCTCAAGTAAAAGTGTTAAGCCAAGCCGGGTGATCTCACATAACCTATACATCCTTCTGTTATAACTAAATGAGATCACCACTGCGGAAGCCAAGGGTGCTTTCAAGTTTATTTCAGCTAACAAAGGAACCTATGGTGAACGAAACCAACTGTACACTTGAATGTACAATGAACCGGTAAACAGGGAGGTGACTGGTGAGCGTAAAGGGGATCAGTAACTCTTCCAAGAGGCCGCCGCGGCCAGCACTAGATCCTGCGGCTTGACAATCCTCACGCTGCTGTAGAAGCGCTTGAAGTCTTTAATAGCCTGCTCCTCGATCTGGATAGAGCGGATGGAGGATGGAGCATCAATCTCTGGCCTGAACCAGCGGTTGGGTACGTTGTCTTTCACACCACCAACCTCTGGTGATCCGCCATGGTGCGGTATAGAGAAGCCTGATGTCTGGGTTTTCGGGCTGTGGGAGATGCCATGGTGCCGTTTCTTCTGAATAAAAATCATTTGTTAGTTAGAATTTTCACAGGGGAGAATACTAAAACAGTCCTGGATGAAAATGAAAACACTACCTGCTGCATTTGTATGTCCCTGAGCGAAGGACGTGATACATTGGGTGAGGTAGCAGAAGATGACCATGGTGGTGTGCTCTTGTCACCTTCAGAAGAAGGCACCGCACGAGCAGGTGTGACAGCTATTGGGCTTGAATGTGAATCTGGAATGAATGAAGAAAGTCGCACACGCCCAGCACTATCAGGTGAGTTCTCATAGCGGTCTTTTGCCTTAGCCGAAGTGGGCTCATTTGTTTTACTCTGCTCGCTTTGGATATCTCGAAGAGAAGCAGGTCCCTTGGTTATCTTTGCACCACCCCAGGCAGGTCCTTCAGGCTTTGGTGTGATAGGCACAACAGGGGCAGGGAGGCTTGGTTTTGGGGTGTCATCGAGAGCACCACTCAGAAACAAGGACAAGCCACCTTTCCTATTCTTCTTTTTTGATGAAGTTGGTTGGGAAGGTTTCTTCTCCAATGGAGAAGCAATGTCTTTTGTGTTGCTGAAAGCAGCAGCCTCTATATGTTTGATTGGATCAGCAGCATACGCCTCCTGCTTCAATGTAGATACAGTTTTATCAGCAATTATGCTTTCTGAAGATAGCCAAATGAATCCAAGTAGCAGAATAGAAACTCAAAGCATTGTGGATGAATGCAAAGTGTAGTGTAACTAAAGATAAAAAGGTACGAGATTCCACATAGGGAGAAAAATACTTGGCCTTCCATGCAAGTAAAGCACAAAACAGGTGCTAAAAGAATAAAGCATGGGACACCCTCTCAACTTTACGTCTTACTACTTGTAAGACTACAAAATAGAAGTCACAAGAAAAACAGGGATCCAAAATAATAATAATAATAGTAAAACAGAATAGTCACAAGAAAAACAGGGATACAAAATAGTAGTAAAATAAGAGTATAAACTAATACTTTGAAATTGCTAGCTCCTACAATACAAACATCTAGGATGATATTAATTAACATGTCTGCACAAAAAAAAGAAAAAGAAAAAAAAAAGAACCTACAAAAGGCAGAAACCATATAGAATCATTGGATGAGTGCAAACACGACAGAATCTAACCTTTTCAGCAGAGATATTGACTGGTAGAACTTCTTGAAGATCCATAATGGGGATTTGTTGCCCAGGCTCACTTTTCACGGACAGAGTCTGTGTAGCCTGCTTGTTCTTTCTCTTCTGTTTCTTAGAAACCTCAGGTTTTCTGTTTGTCCTACCTTCTGCTGGACAAGCAGAGGAAGTTGAGTATGCCTCTGAGGGAACGCCAAGTTCAGCAAGTTCACCTTCAAGGGCAGCCCTAGACTCAAGCTTCGCTAGCTGCTGATTGTCAAGCTGATGACCTGCAAGTTGTTTAGCCTCAAGAATCTCAATTTGTTGCAGCTTCTTGCGAAGTGCTCTGATCTGCTTAGAGACAGCTTGTTCAGCAGTGCAGTCTTTCTGAAGGAAGTTGTCATGACTTGACATTGCAGATGGCCTTGATGATCTCCCACATTTACGGGGCTTAGGGAATTCTCTTGCTTCATCTTCCTCTACATCACTGTCAATGACAGCAGGATAGGTAGCTGTCATTGTGGGAAGACGGCGCTGACTCCAAGGCTCCGAGGATTTCTCATCTAGCAGTTTCTCTAAGTTCACAAGAATTTCAGGAGAAGCATTCATAATTGAAGGAGCTCCCACTGTGAAAATGTAATCGAGGTTGCGAATAGCTAAATCCTGCAGGATATTCAACAACAGAGTCTCAGCAACATCTATATCTATATGGAATTTCACAAGCAACAGTTGCATTGAAGAAAGATAAACACAAAACATACATTAACAGAAGGATTAGTGCTTGCAAGCTGCAGCACAACAGTGCATTATAAATTTATGCCATTACCTCGCAATGCTTCTTGAGCTCCTTGGCTTCCAAGGAATCAGCAACTTCAAGAAGTTGTATTGCGTTTTTTGGCTCCAATAAATACTCAACTGCAACCTTCTCACAGAGGCTTTTCAAGCTAGGCACACCTTTGCTCATTTCACCGCTGCTTCCTGATAAACCACTGTTGGGCTGAACATCATTAAACATGATATCTTCATCCAACTCTTCTGTTCCACTGTTCCATTCTAACATGGATTTTATGCCTTGGCTTTTAGGTTTGGGCGGATACTCAGGATGGTACATACTTGAGAGCACAAGCATGTGTGTTTCACCAACACAAACAGATGTTGCTCGCTTAACACCATGCACCCGAGTGAAGATTGGCGTTTCATCCTTACGTTTCTTTGCATCCCACATGAAAACATCACCAGTTGATGTAGCCACAGCTGTCCAGTACTTTCCAGCCGAGATGTTCACAATATTCCTTCCACACATTGAAAATATCTGTACAGAGATGATGTTATGTAAACATGAACAAGTTACTGCTATACCAATTAAGACCTTAGCAGGTAAGAAACCAAACCTGCTGGCATTTTAGATCAGGATCTGATGAAACCCAGTAGAAAAGAGCACCATCAGCTGTTAAAGCAGTACTGTGCGTTGTTCCAGCAGCCACTGAAATCACTTGAAGTCGTTCCATACGATGAAACTTTAGGTTTGTATTCCCACCCTTCTTAAGGCATCGAGCTACTACAACACGCCGTGGGGTGACAAGGCGATGGCCCCAAGTGAACACCTGAAAAAAAGGATTAAATCAATATATCTGTTCAATTATCATAATGCAAGAAAAATGTGTAAAAATCAAGCTTCAAAGAATACCAATTTACCTCTCCATCAACTCCTAACACTATTGTATGATATTTTGCTGCAGATACACTTCTAAATATTTTTCCTTTCAAGTACTCCACCATTCTTGGAATACAATTTGATGCTGAGTTTGAAGTGCCATATCCTAGCTGGCCCTCCTTATTGCAACCCCAGGTGAATACTTCGCCAGTATCAGCAACTGCAGCGGAGTGCTTGTTTGCAGCAGCTACAGAAATTATCCTTTGCTTGAGCGAACTAACACGCCTTGGTGTTGGTTGGGTATCAACAGAAGGGTAACCAAGCTGACCCTCTGCATCGTTCAGAGGATTTTGTTACAGACCATAAGGGGAAAATAATATTAGTAAGGACAAAAAGGACATGAATTATGTGCCCAAGGTTCATGTTGCCTAAAAATGCATTTCAAATGCACCACACATACCTCTATTTGATCCCCAGGTAAACAATTCCCCCGTCTCTGTAGCAATCACAGTATGATGTTTGGCTGCAGCCACAACATTAACTCGTTTACGGCCTAATCCTACTGTCACTTGGCGAGGGGTAATCACAGCAGTTGTCTGGCCACTGTAACAGAATAACAGGTTTCATAAACTTACTCAACAATAAGGAAAAATTTACACAGGAAAAGAGACATTACTGCTCGATTACTTTGGCTAACAATTAAGCCAATTTAGACTTCATTAATACTCATCACATTTGACTTTGAACAGCTTCAAGTCTTCGATGCATTTCTTTGATCACTATTAATACTCATCACATTTGACTATTTCTTACCGCCTGTGACCGGAAGGTCCCGGGTTCGAGTCGCGGTCTCCTCGCATTGCACAGGCGAGGGTAAGGCTTGCCACTGACACCCTTCCCCAGACCCCGCACAGAGCGGGAGCTCTCTGCGCTGGGTACGCCCTTTTTTAATAAACAATTTAAAAGCCATTGCTGTCTGTAGTTTTTAGGGTTTGACAAAATTTCTGTGACTGGAGGGAGTAGCTAATCCATCGGTACTAACATAAGTGGTGAGGAAACAATTTTCTGATCTGTTAAGAAACAACTCATTTTCACATCATGCAATTGCTCACCTGTGAATATCTGGATGACCAAGACGACCACCTCGACCAAATCCCCATGTGTATAGTTCGCCATCAGAACTAACTGCTACACTATGGAACTTCGATGCAGCAACTGTTTTGATATATGATCCATGCAAGGTTTCTACTTTGCATGGTAGTTTTTGCATGTGGGCATTGCCAGTTCCCAGCTGATAATTTGTCCCACTTCCCCAACTGAAGACTTCCGTTGCAACTAAAATGAAAAAAAAAGAGATAAAAACTTCCATAAAGCAAACCAAATTGCCAAGAGGGCATCAGACTATATAGAATATAAGTGAACCATTTCCTGGGACAGAAGAAAGCTACCTGCATCCGGAAAATCTCCATTCGCCTGTGATACTGGACAGGAGAGAAGGTCAGCAGGTGTACGGCCCTTAGTGTCCTCCAAAGTGAGGGAAGCACCAAACTGTAAAAGAACACCAGCAATACACAGGTGACCAAAATGAAGCGCTCTATGCAGGCTACTCCAGCCAGATTCTCCATCCTGCAACAGTGGAAATTTTAGTGAGAATTTACACACAAAACCTCAAGCAAGCACCAAACTAAAGAAAATTTTGATAATTAAAATGAGTTTATCCGCATGATGTTCTGTACAAAACAACATTTGTGTGTGTGTTTTTTTTAATTGTTGTAGTGGCTTGATACAGCTGAGGCTGTTACTGGGATTATAACTAAAAGAAAATAATGCTCAAAGCAAAGATAAACAGAGGAAGCACCCTAAAAGGTATAGTGCATACCCTTGCATCTGGGTCAGCACCAGCATCTAGGAGTCTCCTCACAATGGGTAGATGGTTTCTCCATGTTGCAAGGTGGAGGGCACTAAGGCCAAATGCATTTCTACCATCAATGTTCCCACCACTCTTTTTCAACAAGGCCAAAGCAGATTCTACTTCAGCTATTGACCCTTGTTTGGAAACAAGGCACAGATCCTTAAGAGAGCTTCCAGGAGAAGGTTTGCGGACAGCTGATTGCTTTGATGTTCCTGGTGGAGATATCGAAGTCTCCATGAAATTTCTGGAACACACACAGTATCTACATGATTATTGAGGCAAATAAGTACTCCATCAAAATAACATTAGAAAATCATTTTTCCTAAATGTGAGAGTACCTGAAAGAGCAGGCCAACTGCTGAACTTCTTCGCACTATCTGGACTGTTTCTTACTGCTAATGTTACAGCTGATGTTGTTCTTAATAGAAGTACAGTTCTGGTGTAATTACAATTGTATATCTACCAGGAGAAATGCTTAAGTGGACATCATCTCCATTATCTAAGACAGTTTCGCTATGCTAAGAAACTACCCACATAACCTAAAATAGCATGGTGCTATAGCTTCATTTTGAGTAAAATTATTATTATTAGAGAGCCGCGAGCTACGAGGCCATTGTCATGTCAAGACTTGATGCTAAGTAGAGAACCACTATAGAGTATACATCAACCTGCATGATGAGTAAAATGGATGCAAATGAGTAAACGATATAATGTGAGAAATTATAATGCCATTAAAATAATGAATGCTCTGAATTATATGCCTGATAAACTGGAAAGTGAACTAGTTTTTAAGAAATGCAAAAACAATCAATCATACAAAATGAAATTGACATAACTCCGTTAGAGAATACACATCCAAGTTTTAGAATCAATTTGCAACATGGACAAATTACATTGCTGATTGTCAAGCATAAAAACAACATTTCTGATAAGAATAAGAAGTCTTTCAACAAAAGGTAAACGCCTTCGCCTTCAAGTCTTGGGATTATGCATCTTATGCAATTCTATATTTTCAATCAAAAGTTGACCTACCACAGCAAACTTATAAATATGCACCCAACTTGGATAGAGAAATAGAACTTTCCCTTGACACCGACCTGTGCTTTTGCAATCATGGTCTTATTTCGCAGAAAAGGAATCATATCTAGCGCTGATGTGAATGATAAACTAACACATCTATTATAGTATCAAGACCATGGAACAGCAGGTGGGTAAAAATCGAACATCACTAGTAACATTTCTTAGTACTAGCATCGAACATGGGAGTCAAGTCCGTAATAGTGAAAAAAAAAACAAAGGAAGAAATCAGAACAGAAACGAAAGACATACTTGTAAAATGCCCCCAACCAAATGCTAGCTACTATACACATTTTAATTGACAATACATACATGGCATGAAATTAACACAAGAAAGAATGTCTAACAAATACTACCTGAAATTAATAACGTATCATCGAATCAATTCAGGACTCAACCATCAATTCCCCATGTATAGACAATAATTATGATACACGCTGCACCATCCTTCTCAGGACGAACTGAACAAATCCGCACAAATCCCCCGAGAAAAAATAGCAAGTAATAGCACTCCAGCACGCTGCCAAACAAACTGGACGGCTGGAAGCATCCACCCATCCAGCCCCAGGAAGAAAGATTTGGTTTTGACCGCTCGCGGCAACACAGAAGATCCCCGCGAAACATCAGGATTCAGGAGCAAAGCAATCAAGATGGGGCTTCCTTACCAGCAAAAGAAATAACCCGGATTGCTGGATCTGAAGAGCGTGCAGAGGTTGGGGGGAAGAAAAGGAATGGCAGCCTCTGGATTGGACCTCCCCTGCACAGGCTCCTCAAGAACGCATCTTTGGCTCTTCACCCCGGCTCTCCTCCCTACCTACCTCTCCCTCGCTAGGCTCCGTGAGGGAGGGCAGGCTTGCGTTTATCAGGGGAGGGTCGGGTACTCCGGGATCTCCGGGACGGGGAATATGCCTCCGGCTCCGGGGCTCCGCCGCAGTAACTGCTATTTTTTCCTCGTGTGTGTGATCTTCTTGGGCTGGGAGTATTTTGAGGAGAGGGAGATACGGTGATTATACGTGAACGGGAATTTGAGATGATACACGGTATGTGATCGGAAAATTTTGAGGATGGGAGGAAGGAAACGAGCTTGTTGGTTGGAGTTTAGTTAGAGCAATTTTTTTTCCGTTATGGCCCCCTGTTTATTGACAATTGATGTAGGTAGCCTCAGAAGAGGATGTCCACAAAGATCACAACAGAAACTTTCTTGTTGCAACTTAAATTAAGTTGTGGGTATGTTTTTTCAGACGGCGCCCGGACGTCCGATCCGGGGCGCTAGCGTCGTCCGGACAGTGCCGCATAGCTATGAGCGAGCGCCCTAGCAGACGTCGCCCGCGCCGCCCCAGACGTCGCCTACGCCACCTCGAACGTCGCTCTCGGCACCAGCCGCTTCCCATGCGCATTCCATGTACAAAACCTGATCTACTTTTGAAACATCCAGATGCACACATACAAAAAAGACAGATGAAATACTTGAAACAAGCGCGCAACACTTGTGAAAATGTCTGAAAACGCTTGAAAACCATTGCCAACATATATGACATCCAGATGAAAACACTTACAAACATACGTATGAAACACTTGAAACATATGCATCCAACATGCATGTATATGCAACACTCAGATCTACTTTTACAACATTTAGATAAAACACTTGCAACATACATACATCTGGAACAGATGAAACACTTAGAATATACACTTGAAACATACGTGTATATCCATTACAACATGTGCAACATCCCGATCTACTTTTGCAACATCGATATATAACATTTGCAACATACCTCTAAAACACCTAAACCACTTGAAACATACTCTTGCAATATGCGCTTTGAGTGCAACATCTACTTGTTGCTTAGACGAATGGAGGCTCATCGACGTGGAGCTCGACGCCAGTGCAGAGCTCGATGCCACAGAGGTTGCCAATGCGGAGCTCATCGGTGGCGCGGATCTCGGTGGTGCAGAGCTCATCGACAACAAGCGGCTCGCCGGCGGTAGCGCACGCAAAGCTCAACGACAACGCGTGGATGTCGGTGGCGTGGAGCTTGCCGGCAACACGGTGCGACGCACAGAGAGCGGGCGGGTATGGCCGTGTGACGCGCGGGACGGGTGGCTGCGCGAGTTCGAGGCGGTAATAAGGAGATGCGCAGGCTCCACGACATCCTTTCTCTCCCTGTTGCTTTGAATGGAGAGACGGAGGAGAGAGAGACGAGATGGAACCAGAGAGATAAGTCTAAGTGGCCAGATATTTGTATAGTGGGGAAAAATACATGGATCACGTAAAGCCACTTAGCGACCGGCGCCCATGCGTAGATGCCCGCGGTGGAGCGTTTCCGAATTAGTATTGGCAACCAAAAGATGTTTATGAAATAATACTCTAGCTAGCTAACAACAAAAAGCACATTCGGTTGCTTTGGTTCATATTAAGTATTGGCAGTAAAAGATGTTTATGAAAAATATCTGCTTTATTGAAAATTTACGATCGTTTACGATAAGCCACAGCCAAACGAACCTGCTGAAGAATGGGAAAGCGAGAAAGAAAACTTTCGACGTGAGGGCCTGCAAAGGCCAAGACGATGGCTTGCACGTAAACTACCGTTTCTCTTTTTGTTCGCTTCAACGATCTCTAGGGCATATCTGGTCTGCAGTAGCAGGACACCAAAAGCTGTGACCACTGCCACGTGCAATCCTCTGGTTGGTCCTTTGACTCCATTTTTGCAGAAACGCGCTCTATAATCCGCATTTTGCAAACCAATCCCCTGCTGGTCCTTCCCTTCCTTCCCTTCCCCAGAAAGCTTCCACGCATGTCATGACGCACTGGTTTTCTTTTGGAACCTTTTGGGATTGTTTTGGATGGAGAAAAAGAAGAGGAGGGGATGGATGGCTGAGCAAAGCCACCGTCATGAACTGGGTGAAAATTGGAAAAACGATGGGAAACTCATCCTTCCCCCGAGCGCCCCCTTTCTCGGCTCCCCTCCAGTCGCCGCCGCCGCCGTCCGTGCTGCTGCGGCGGCCCCCGGTGGCCCCTAAAAAAGGGTGTGGCCGCAGCCCCCCTCCCCCTCAACTCCGGCCACCAGGTTCAACTCCGGCGAGGAATCGCGGCCACCCGGATGGATCCGTGCCCCCTGGGCGGTGCCGGTGGCCTGCGCCCCTATGGGGTCGCTAGCGCCTGCCACGTTGGCTGGTCTGGGCGGGGCCATTGCCTGCCTGGCCCTGGCGTGGCCGGTGCCTGCCCATGGCGGCATGTGCGCTAGGCCGTTGCTGCGGATGCCTGCCTCGGTCATGGGGGACGCTACCTGCGGTGGCCACGTCTGGGTGGCTTGGTCGGTCCTTCCCAGCCATCCAGCGCTGGCCGTTGCTGGAATGCTAGATGGGCGGTGCCTGCTTGCTGGCTGCCTGCTAGCCGGCGATGGAGGTTCTCCCCCTGCCCCCGCAGTGCGGGACGACCCAGATCCGACGAACAATTGTTACTTTGGTGAAAGCTCTGCCCGGTGCCTTGCTTCGGGCCGACGGCGGTGGTACTATCTGTGCCACTATCTTCTTGAAGGCGTCGTTGAAGCTTCTGTTCGTCGCGCGGGTTGTTGGGGGCGGCTCTAGGACGAAAGTCCTTGTGCTCTTCTTTCAACGTTATTGACGTCTGCGGATGTCATTCCCTTCCTTGAGGCTTCGTTGGAGCACTCATGCCGCCATCCGCCTCTCTCACCGAAGTTGGTCCTGGCTATTCTGTGCCTGCATGTGCTTCAACTCCTTCATCGCTTTGGTTTGCCCAACTCAGTTGTTTGGTGTTGCCGATGTTGCTTGGTTCTTCGCAGGTTCTTCTTAGCGGATGCTTTGCCGTCGCTGCTACCTGGGCGGATGCTTTGCCGCCGATGTCGCTCCACTCTTACGAATGCTTTGCCGTGTGGTCTCTGGCAGATGCTTTGCCGCCGTGTTGCTTGGATTGCTATGGCGGATGCTTTGCCGCCGATGTCGCTTCGGTCTCCCCTCTCTGGCAGTTGCTTTGCTACCGTGAGCATGATGGCCCCTCTACTTGCGGGTATTTTGCCGCTTCGGTCGTCTTGGAAGGATGCTTTGCCGCCGTTCTTGCTGGATTCTCGGTGGATACTTTGCCACCTCGGCTTCATCACCTTTGTTGGCAACCATTGCGTTGATGTATTTTCGTT